GTGATAAGAAGCAAGTATGGGCTACAGGATAATGGGTGGAATGCAAATCCTCTGTTGCAGGGTTCAAGTCGCAGCCCCTGGAAAGATATTTTGTGTGGTCTCCAATCGTTTCTACAATGTTGCAAGTTTGAGGTGGGCAACGAGGAGAGGGTGAGGTTTTGGGAGGATGGTTGGTTGGAGTAGGACCTTTGAAAAAGAAGTATCCTAGATTATTCTTGCTATCGAGAATGCACAACTAGAACATCTCAAGTTTTGTGGATCTTTCTAGCAATTTGTGAGTTGGAATTTTGCTTTTATGAGAAATCTGAATGAGGTGGAGATAGAAGAGGTGGCTAGATTATTACAGAATGTGAAAATGTTCGCTTGTCTCAATCAAGAGCGGATAACAGAAGGTGGAAACTGGACTTATCAGGATTGCTCACTTGCAAATCCTATCGCTCTTTCTTGAGCAACAATGGGATTGTGCAACATTTTCCACCCTCTTATTAGATTTGGAAATCAAAAGTTCCTCCAAAGGTCAAAGTTCTTGTGCGGCTAGTGGCTAATGGGAAACTCAACACTTGTGATCAAATTCAAAGGAGAAGCCCTTTTATTTGTTTCTTTCCTCATTGGTGCAATTTGTGTAAAGCTAAGGAGGAGAGTGTTAACCTCATTTTTCTCCATTGTTCTTACATGATTCAACTGTGGTGGAAATTGTTTCAGGAGGTTAGAGTTAGTTGGGTCATTCCAAAGAGTTGTTTCGAGCTTCTAAGTACCAATTTTGAGGCTTTAGGAATTGGGAGGAAAGCTAAAGCTTTGTGGGGTTGTCTAGTGTCATCATTTTTTGGAACATTTGGCTGGAGCGTAACAAAAGAATTTTTGAGGATTATTCTGGTGTTGGTGTAGCATATCTATGGGGAAGAGTAAGATATTGGGCAGTCCTCTGGGCTTCAGTTTCTAATGATTTTAAGAATTACTCTCATTCTCGCATACTGTGGGATATGTTAGAAGCCGTAAAGTGATTTTGGTTGAGTTTTTGCTACTTGTAATCAAATCCTCTTGAGAGATTTTCTTGCTTTGTTCTTGGTGGATTTCTTATCCATTTTTGTGTAATTCCACTTTTCTATTTTAATAAAATGTTATAGTTTCTTCTCAAAATAAAAAAATAAAAAAAATAAAAAAAAGATGTAGAAATGCATAATCGTGTTTAGAGCATACAACTAATCGAGAATAATGTGAAAGAATTATTATGAAAAGGTATGAATCGAGGAATGAAACCAAAACAGATGAGGCTTGAAGATGCCTAAATGGAAGTGCCTTGATGCCGGGATCGTGTGCCTTGACTCTAACTCATGAGGGGGCGCAAAACAGAAAAGGTGAGTGGACCATAATTTATATTAATACTAATAATAGGAAAACCATTTTATTTATGAACATACCAACCCCCTATTTTGAAAACACATATAGTACTACATAGTAAGTTTCTTGAAAACTCTAGCATGCCATGAAATCATTCGTAAAACATGTATGCGTAAAATAATGCTCGGAGATCGTAGTAAAACCACCTGAAGGCAAATCCGTAAATCTCATCCATATTGTACTCTCTAGGGGTATCATAGTCACCCGAAGGCAGTAGTTGTCCATCACCTGAAAAAGACGTTGTACGAGACTAGGTTACGCTAGTGAAGAAATATGGTAGGCCCCATCACCCGAAGGTGAAGCTGTATGACTCCGGGTTACGCCAGAGAAGAAATAAATAACATCAAACACTGACACTAGCCTCGGGCTAGTGAAGCTGGGGGTATATTAGCAATATCATCAACTCCTTATTCGCCCAAAGGCAGTACCTATCCATCATCCAAAGGTGAAGCTGTACGACACTGGGTTATGCTAGTGAAGAAACATGGTAGGCCCCATCACCTGAAGGTGAAGCTGTATGACTCTAGGTTACACCAGAGAATAAACATATACATAGATATCCTCAAATGTGTCCTATAGCCATAGACGTCTACATACCCGTGTTGTGTGATAACCCACTTGATAAGTATCGAAAACATATCTCAAAATCTCATCTCATCAATCCATGATAAATCATATTCGAAAGTCATATAGTTTCATATACCAGAAAATCCAATGATTCGTAACCTTTCGTGAAACATAATTTCGATAATTAACAAATATTCCTTGAAAGCTATTTAAATAATCATAATTATGGAAATTCGTAAAACATATTATATAACATATTCCATTTATGAAATATGAAATGCATGTAAGCCTAATATTTTATAAAAACATGCAAGTTTAGAAGGGGTCCACTCATAGTATTCCATGGCTCAAGAGCCACTCGAACTAGCGAGGATGGTGTTACTTCCCACTGATGCACCTAACCATATATAGAGGCCACATAGTAAAACTTTATTAAAACGATCGAATTTCAGAAAACAGACAGCGGATTTGAATTTGGCACGTCGAAAAACCTAAGGAAGAACCTCAAGTTTCCTCCCTACGCGCTACCGCACAAGCCGCCACGAGGCGGTGGCCCGGAAGGCCACGCGACGCCGCACGCACTGCCTTATGTGGCGGTTTTCGATGAACAAAAACCACAAATTCCGACCAACTCTAAAATTCATCAAATTTTACAGGAATGTAGAGCTCATTGAGGGGAAGAACTTTCATACCTGGGCCGAAGTCCAATTCGGCCAGAAAATGCCTGAAAACACCCTCGATCCGTCGGAAACCCTAGAAGTGGATGTACTTCGATTTGCCTTCTCTGTTACTTTGCCATCGCCAAATTGGTTTAGGGTTTGTTATTGGCCTCAAGAGAAGTCAAACCATGGTGGTGGTCGACGATGGTGGTAGAAGCGCCAATCACCGCCGTGCACCCACAAAACCCATTGGTGCATTTTTACCTACACTTGAGGCGAATTTCCATCAATTTTTGGGTGTAAATGGGAGAGGAAGGATCAGGAAATGTTTTCCAGGTGGTAGCTTGAAGAAACTCGTCAGAAAACTCACGAGAATCTAGCTAAATCGGGTCTGGTAGTCGGGTCTAGGGTAATCCGATGTTTTTCTTCTTTCTCATTTCTCTCCTCTCCTATTGGTCCACTCTCGTCCCTTTTTTTTCTTGATTGGGCAGCTCCCCCGCCTTTCTCTCCTATTTTTTCTATCACAACCATACACGTGGCACCAGATTGATGTTCCAACAAAATCTGGAGCCTTCCAGATTTATGGTCAAATGACCATTTTGACCTCAACTTCGTTTGTTAATCTCTTTTGTTATACCTCCAAATTAGACTCCCCATGCACCCACACATCCGTAATGCTAAGTACGACAAGAATACGCTAAGGAAATGGATGATAAGATGGTCAACAAAAGTCAATACATTTACCTTGAAAGGGCATTTTTGTAATTTTACATTTAAAAAAATTATAAAAACCGTAATATTTGGGACACGTCATTACACTTGATTTGAGTCCAAGCAAAGCTTATTTGTGATCGGTTGAGGACTGTAAAGAATCAAAGCAACACTAGTTACCGGAGCTACGTCTTCAATTGTAAAACACTAGTATATGCCCACACACAAAAGTGTGTGAAATATTATTATTATTATTATTATTATTATTATTATTTTCTGTTTTTAAAATTGAAGGAAAGAGGAAGAGAGTGAGAGAGAATGTGGAGGTGAAGGGAGAAGTTTATTTTTTATTTTTTACTTTTTTCATAATTAGAAATGTTAGCATCACTTGTAGGTAATGGTTAAATAAAAACAGAAAAATTTTGTTTTGTAAAATTACGTTACTGCCCTTAACTTTTTGTTATGATAGAAGACTAAATGATATTTTCACCCTCTTTTGGTTGACAAAGAGGGTTCTATTAACAAATAGTTTAGATAATAGCTACAAAGAAACATATAAAACAAAACACCAACTTTCCTTCAAATAGCAACACATTAGTTTACGTTTACAATTCAACCAACCCAACATTTACTTCAAGATTAAACTTACATTTGAAAGTGGTGGGTTGTCATGGTAAATAGGGTCTTGATTGACGTCATCCGGATCGGATGAGGATTATCTCCGGATTCTCTTTGTGGGGATTCTAGGGATCATCACATCATGGCTGTTTATTGTATATCGTGCGATCAGTTTTCGTTAAGCACTATTTATATTTAATTTTAAACAATAAAATTTAAAATAAAGTATGACCGCACGATATACGATAAATAACTACGACGTGAGGATCCCCACAATTTGGATTCGGATGGGATCCAAATCCGTCCGGATCCACCCCTTTATTCTCCTTAGTCTAGCTTGAAGTATTAATATTATTGTAATAATACAAAACCTAAAAAAATCATATGACAACATATGGCACTGCAAATCTAGTAGTACATTCTTAGCCCTTGTGAGTTCGATATCTTATTATGATTGATTGATTATGTAATTTAACCTAAATGCCCTGCCCCAAATGGCCAACCAATTGTGTGCCAAACAATGTGTATAATGAATAACATTCACAGAGATAAAATCATTAATTTTGACAGATATGTTCATATCCAATTTATATATTCAATATCTTAAATAAAAATAAAATACATTAATTTAATTTCCTTACGAGTTACTAACGAGTCCATTTGTTATCAACTTGACCCTTTAAGGCTCGACCTAAATGCTTAATTTTCTCACGTGTTCGTGTCATGTTATTGGATAGTGCAAGATTTTGGCAAGTCTAATTGTGTTAGTCGCACTTAAATATAACTAGCCGTAGTATGGCAAATGGCAATGCAAGTGTTATGAAATCGTGTCAATTACCACAAATGTACGGGAGTTCATAAGAAAAACAGTGTAGGTAAAAATAAAAGTGCGGCAAGTGGCCATTAACTATAATAATGGAAATGAGTTGAGTTCTTGCGTGATTTTGTGAGTTCGAATTCAGTAACTAATATAACAAAATCAAACGTTTGATTTATAAAAAAAAAAAAAAAACAAAAAGAACAATATAAAAGTGCGAAAATCCCTTGGAAACACTGCATTGGATCGGCACATCGTCAATTTGGTCATTAGCACAATGAAGTAAGCTGAAAATATTGGGCTTTAGGTCCGATCAAGAGAAAAGAATATTACATTAAATCTCATCTGATTCTCCTTCGTCTCAAAGCTGTCCTCCGTTCCGCCTCCTCTGAACCCAGAAAAGCTTTAGCCTTCCGACGACGCCGACGCCGACGCCGACTGCCGTAATCTAAGGGGTTCAGCAGCTAATAGGTATGCCTAAGACTTCATACTGGTCGCGATAATCTCCAGTTGCTTACTCTCTCTCCCTCTCTACATATAAAACAGATGTTTACATGCATAAAGAAACAAACATGCCTATGCTCATTTGCTGGATTTTTAGTGCTCAGTGAGATTGAATAAAATTTGGGTCCGTCAAAATTTTAAAATTTTATAATATTTTCTGGGTTTTTGATTTCGTTTTCCAATTTTTTGTATTGGAATGTGGATGTTGCTTGGATATGGTTTGAAATGTGAATTTAATAATTGAAGATTGTAGACTAAAACAACGAGAATGAGGAATTAAAAGTAGCTTAATTCGATAATATTAAGACGAAATAATTAGTGGGTTTTGGTGTTTTCAGGAGCAGATATTCAAATGGAAGCCAAATTTTTTCGATTTCTTAAGATTGTGGGTGTGGGGTACAAGGCCCGAGCGGAAGCCGAAGGACGCATGTTGTATCTGAAGTTGGGTTACAGTCATGAGGTAGAATTGACCGTTCCTCCTGCGGTTCGTGTTTTCTGCTTCAAGAACAACGTAGTTTGCTGCACCGGAATTGATAAAGATAGGGTGCACCAGTTTGCTGCTGCTGTTCGTAGTTGTAAGCCACCTGAAGTCTACAAGGGCAAGGGTATAATGTACGTCGATGAAGTTATCAAGAAAAAGCAAGGAAAGAAATCTAAGTGATTGGATGTCTCAAAGCTTATCTGCGGCTGGAAATTGGTAATCTTCTTTTTTGAGCTGGGATTTGCATTTGAGGATTATGTTGTGTTTATCCTTGCAGCTTTTTTTAGTGATCGAAAACAAGTGTTATGATTCTTGCTTTAGTGTATTATTTTACGGGCTCACATACATTGAATGTTTCATTTTCTTATCAAATGGAAAAGTAGAACTTATTGCATTGAACTGGCTATGGAGTTTAGGCTCCGGTTGATACCTGTACCGGTATCAAAAGCTAAACGCAGTGCAAATTTTTGGTGTTTGTTGCTTTGTGATTGTTTGTTAACATGGTGTTGTGCAGTGGATCCCATAGAATTGCTATTACAGTTCGCGATATTACATTGCTGGCGCTGAAGAGTTACTCTGCTGCCAGGGAGTGGTTGTGAGCCCTAGCGACTGTCATCCAAGTCACTTGTGACTTGCACTGCTAAGGCTGGAGCCTGAATACCCTTCATCTCACCCCTCCCGCCCCACTCCCACTACATTTTGGTTACATGGTGGAAAAAGCCGAGCCCTTTCATTATTATATATTTATATTTTCATTTTTTCATTCTTTGCTACTTAAATTGACTGATTGTTTTGATGATTCTGCGTATTGTCCTAATGTCTTGTTTTATAGGAAATGGATTTACGGGATGGCGATGTTTGATTTTTTTTTGTTTTTGGTTTTGTTGGTGTTTGCCCTTGTGGATTTTGTGGTTGCCACAAAATGGTAGGAATGATAGCGATAGAGTGAGAGTTATAGCGTCCAGTCGAATCCAATCATGGGCAACAAACGCAATCGGGAATGCTAATCCAGTTTAAGACTCGTAACAAACCCGCCCAGTGCGTGTCCGTCAAAGTGCGTCAGTTGAATACATCAACCAAGTAATTTAACATGACTACATAAAAATTACATAAAAGAGATGAACAAGTAAATCATAGTGATCTTGTCCTTGTGAGTAAACATTTGGATTGGGAGGAGTCATTGATGACATTTGGAGTCAAAGCGTTTTAAAATCCTATTGACTACACTTTGATTTTAAAGTCTATTACGATGCTATCAAATCCTAATTTGACTTCCTGAATATGAAACTAGCCTTATTGTATTTATTGAGAAATAACAACAGTAATTCAAGGCAAAATCCTTTTCAAAACTCTCTGAACTTTACAGATTTCATGCAGGTAGTTAGCATATAACAATCAGAACTTTGCTCAAAATGTCAACCATGCAAATCAATCTAGCACATACCAAATTTATTTTACCGTGTCCACAGTTTATTCTTACAGTACAACAGAATGACGTTTACATGAGAATGTAAACTGTAAAAGTACCATCCAAAGCAATGATAAATGGTACCAGCCTGCGTTAATCTATATTGTTACATAAAACAGTAGTTTAGCAGCAAGTAGAGATTAACAAGAACATCTTAGACCATAGGCAACAACACATCACTCGACAAAGTTATGACTGTTTCCTTTTGCGTTCAAGATAAAAATAGTTAGACTGAAATTTCAAGACCGCCCAAACAAAATGACGGAAACCAATCTCAGGCCAGAGCACCGAGGGAGAGTACAAATAACAAAATGCACTCTGCCACAAAAGAAAATTGCTCAACCGTGTCTCACCTGAAGTACGGATTAAAACATCAGGGTCTGGTGCAACCGCCATATACATATGTTTTTCAATATCTGTCAATTTTACAATCTTCACCCTTTCATCCTCTTCATTGCCTCCAAGTTTAATTAGACCATACCCAGCTCCACTTGCATTCATCGCGCTAATCTCGTCCAGTTTTTCTTCACACGATTCTTGAACAGCATGCACAATCTCATCAGTGGAAGTGTAGGCAATACATATTGACAGCACTCCTCGGGAGTTATTGGCCGTGGCTGCCATAGCCCTCTCTGCTGCCGATCTGACAGGTTCACTCAAGAGCTTTAGGTTCCCAATAAAATGTACCCTAACTCCATACCGATTCACTATGCTTTCTTCTTTGATTAACCCTTCGATCTTCTCCTGCATGAGGTCCATCAAGGATTGAACTTCTTCAGGATTCCTTTTGAAATTATCAATACTAAACGCATATACCGTTACATATGTCACACCCAGCTCATAACAATACTTGAGCATGGACATCAAAGCCAAAAACCCAATCCTGTGTCCATCCCCATCCATCATCTTCCGCTTTTTAGCAAATCTTCTGTTTCCATCCATGATGAAGGCAATGTGACGTGGTATGGGACGAATAGATATTACAAGAAAGAGACATCTCCTCAAAAAACTAACTATGCTCCAAAACAAGCGGGTTGCTGTATTGCCACTGGTTTTCTCCATCCTAGAGCCCCGTACAACTGTCGAGTTCTCTGATAAAACCGATATGACCTGTTAGTTAATAAACAAAATTTATCCCAAACTCCTGAATCTACAGCAACATCGCCCAAAAATCATGCTCCACTCCCCTTCTTATAAAACAAATTTAATGCCCGAAACTTCAAATGTAATTGAGCTTATTAAACTTCAAAAACGCAAAAGATTCATGAACCATCAGCCATAGAATGCATAATGATCAAGTCTGTATTTTTCCACATCAAACTGAACCCAGCTATTCCCACTGTCAGGCATTTCATCAAACACATCCAGTGCTTCAAAAGAACGAGAAATTTTCTCAGTGCCCGGTAGTTTCAAGCGGGTGCTCCACGTGTCATAATATAAGCAGAGGGACATGAAAAAAAATATACCATTTCCTCCACTCTGTAGTATGATATGTGAAGTACCCCTTGAATACACCCCACTTGGAAAAATCTCTCAGAAGAAGAACCTTTTCGACAAACCATGAGAAATGAAGCACACAGAACAACACTGTTACTGCATTAGAGGTATGTTCTACAAAAACCCATTTCCCAGCAGAACTCAAACGAACAGTTGAGCTCACAAAACGCAACTTGCGCACTGTTTCTTAACGAAATGATAAAAAGGAACAAACTTGGATTCCATGAACAACTAAACAAAATTTGAGGATTAAAAACATAAGAAAATATGCATAATTACGGTACAGAAGACGAGAGAAATCAGAAAGTACCTGGGTGGGTCGTGGCTAATTAAATTCTTCAGAAAATTAGGGTTTGTGCAACGGCAACAATCAATCTGAAAATCCCAATAGAGCTTATGTAATAAGCGACTCGCCAAAACCCAAAGCTCTGCTGCTCTCAATCAAAATGCCGCTGCATTCAAAGAGCTGAGAACTAGATTAAATTCAAATTTGCCCCCTTAAATTTTGTTTTGTCCTACTTTGGTCTCTCAACTTTGTTTTCGTCCCAAACCGATCCGATTCAAAATTTCTCAAAAAACAGTACTATAAAAAAAAAAAACCAATCCATATTCTTATTTTATCATGTTCATTGTTATATTTAGATATATTTTATTTCTTATTTGTATATTATGTAAGGTGTGCTATTCACACATTTTTTTTTTCTTCTCACATCCTTCTTGTTAATTTTTATCCGTTGATCTTCTTCAATTTATCATGGTCGAAAACTTAAAAAAAGTGTGAAAGAAGTAAAAAAGATGTGTCAACATCGCATCCCTTTTTTATTATAGCATGCATTGCACTTCCGCAAATTCCAAGAATAAAAAGAAGCAGCTAATCAAGAATGCAATGCTTAATAATCTGCAAAATCACAAAATTAATACTATGACCAAAATGGTGATTAAGCAATCAGATTAACCCCGTTTAATGTGATTAAGCTCTAATTTCTGATTAAAAGCAGCATAAAAGAATTGAAAACACGAAATAGGAAGTAACATTGTCAACTTGCGAGAGATTGGAAAATCCCAGAACCTAGAAACACCCACTCCATTGAACCCAAATCATAAACTTTTTCTTTTCGATTTTCTCGGAAACCAAACAGAAGATTGGAAAATCAGAGGGAGAGAGAGAGAAAGTTACCGGTGAAGAATCAAATGCAGAGTAGGGCGGCGACTCCCCAGTGAAAGGTAAGACTTCAAAGACAATTTCGCTACTGCCGTCTCTCTTTGAAGCTGGAATCACATACAAAAATATCTACGTAGTACCTTCAGTTTTTTACTTTATTTATTAAATGGCCCCCGAAATTTGAGCCAAGTTTAATTTCTGACCATGCAGTTTCAAATTTCAGAGATATTATTAGATGGTACAATATCATCACGTGGCACTGAGATAATACCCACCAACAAATGCAAAACACGTGGCAAAGCTCACAACTTTGACTTCCAGCTCATTTTCTCGGTCCTCCTCCTTGAATCGGATCCAGAGGGAGTTCCGATCCTAGTTATGCCGTCCTGGATCTCCTGGAATTGGCTCTGAAGCACATTCGAACGAACCCATCTTGTTAGGTACTTAAGCTCAAGGAAAGAGCCCAATCCAAAAGACTAGTCCAATAGATGGGAGAATCCCTACACACCCATAAATGTAATCGATGTGGGATCATAACATTATAACACCCTTCGGAAGCCGACACCCACAACGGCCTTTACTCTGCTGGCTTTTACTCTTAACGGTGGTGCACCTTTTGGTTGTCCCGTTAAGGTAGTCCTTTCCAGATCGTCCTCTCCGCAGCATTGGAAACCTAGACTCTGATACCAATGTCAACCAAAGGATTAGTCCAATAGATGAGAGGACCTGAAACTTAAGAACCTCTACACCTCCATAAGTGTAGTTGATGTGGATCATAACACATCTTCTCCAAAAGACCATTCAATTGCAGCAAGGAACGATCAAACTGATTCATCTCCGATTGTTTGAAACCAGAAACCATCTTCGCCATTGTTGATCAAGTTTGCCTCTTCTTTTAAACATTAAAAATTAAATTAAATTTAAAAAAAGACCCCAAAAATTAAGGATCAAAATGTTACGAACGCGATTTGGTGAAACATGGACAAAAAAGAGAAAACCCCAATGTGCCTAGCGTGTTCAGTGATCAAGAAGGTGCATTTTTCAATTTCTGAAAAAACAAAACCCTAAAAACAGAGCACGTGAGATTACTGAAAGAGAATGAAGGGCCGCCATTGCTGATGAAATGAAGAAATCGCACACCTTTGAGTTGGAATTTCTCAACTTTGAACTTGATATCGACGGCTATGGAGGAAGGAGGGCGCAAAGCTTGACGCTTTAGCTGCTGGTTCTTCTTCTGGAAGACAAAGATGTGAGCTTTGTTACATGTCATGATTTGTTGATGGGAATTACTAGCTGTCAATGCCACGATGATATACTACTATCTAATAATTTCTCCAAATTTCAATGTGATTGCTTAATTACAAATTTCTTTCACAAATTGGTGTGCGACATTTAGAAAACTCACATTTTTAATTGCTAATTTCATAAATAAATTGACTGAATTCAATGTTATCCTTGCGCTGCAATTAAATTTGCAGTGCTAAATTTCACTTTTGGTCTTTTTAGTTACTCTGAGTTTCACATTAGTCCCTAGTGTTTAAATTGTCGCTTCGGATTTTGGTTCGGTTTCCCTCGATTTGGTGAACTCGGTTTTCTTCGGGGTTTTTTTTTTGCCTCGGTTTAGTTCGGTTTTTGGGTTCTTCAGGTGTTTTTTTCTTTCCGCCCTACTAAAAATGGATACTTCAAAGACATAACTGTTAAAAATTGCTAAGTTAATGAGAGGTTTTAGGTTGAATGTCATGAATGAAGAGTTTGATATGGTTTGTATTAAAAAAATAAAATTGAGAGTTGAGTAAGAAAGTCGAAAGAAGATCAGTTCAGAGAGCATAGTTTCTAGAACCACAACAAGTGATCCAGTGATAAGGACATGAATTCTAGCTTCCAAAATACATAAAACAGATGGGTCCCAAGTTCGAGGCTTCAAGCTTGTGAGTCTACTTGATGTGACCAGGAGAAGGCTGAAATGTTTGTGTGACCTCTGAAAAAAGTAGATAACTGTGACTTCCTCTTTTTGTTTTGTAATAAGAAAAGAAAAAAGGAAAAAAAAGGAGCGTAGGATCTAGGTCCGGACTGCATTTGGGCAAAGGATTTTTAAAGCCCATCCTCATCTGGGCCAGGCCAGAAAAACCCGATTGAGTTATGCCTGAAAAATAAAATAAAAAATAAAATGAAAATTTTATGTTTGGTAGAGAATTCAAAAATATAAACCCCATAAACCCCAATCATGGAGAACAAACAAGTATACTGAACTCGCCCGGAGCAGCTGTCTTCTTCTGGTTGGCTCTTCCACTTCTGCCCTCCCATCAGCGCAATCGCCGCCGATTCCCCCCGTCCAATCTGCCGTCGCCAGTTCCCCCATCGCAAGGTACGTTTCTCTCTCTTCGGTCGCTGTTTCAGTCGACCTCAACATTTTCGTTTTCTTTTTAGGTTTTGATCATCCTTTTTTTTTTTTTTCCATCCTCCGGCGAAATCCTAATGATAGCCGCCGTTTGATTTTCTGATCACGTTCTCTCGCTCTATACTCTATATAAATGTTTTGCTTTTTCCTCGATTTAGGGTTTTTTTTTCTCTCTGTTAAAATTTCGCTCTCCCTCACTAGAGTATTTGGTAAATTTGGATGTGAATGTGGAAAGATGATAAAAAGGGATCAACATACATTGATTTCTATCTAATTGTCTTTATTTGGGGACTAGAATTCTGTTCGGTTTTATTCTTGTCCGGCTTTTGTGATTGTTTCAATTCAACGATCTGGGTTTTATTTTTTTCTTTCGTATTTTTATTTAATTTTGTGTCTAAAATTATCGTCTCTAGTTTGCATTTAGGGTTGTTATTTTGAATGTGAAATATGTTGCTTTGATCTGCTCAATTTGAATAAGTGCATTGCCCTATTTATGTTTTGCAGATATCAAGTTCTGATTTTTTTTATTTATTTTTAATTTTTTTGGGTATTTACTGCTTAATCTGAGTATGTATGTCTAATAATGTTGGATAACAGGAGTGCATGCCAATGTCTTTTGATCTCAACAACAAGCATCCATCAATTATTCGATTGTTTTGTTTTATGAACCGAGGTAGCCTCTGGTGTTTGTGGAGGATCTTGTTCCGTCATTGGACTTGAGGAGACGAGCTGTTTGGTTTTAAAAGACTATACTTTATTTTTCTTCGCATCTTGTGAGGAATTTCCACATTGGGATTTAAGGTTATTGTTAGATAGTTGAGACGTGTATATTGTGAATGGGGAAAGGGAAATCATTGATGCCTCCTGGTTTTCGGTTTTCTCCAACTGATGTAGAGCTTGTACAATATTATTTGAAGAGGAAAGTTATGGGGAAAAGACTCCGTTATAACTTCATTGCAGAGGTCGACATTCATAAGTACGCTCCTTGGGATCTTCCAGGTAATATGTCATTCTAACTTATTTTCTTTCTTGTCTTTATTTTATATACCTTGTTATTGTAATTAGCCTTGGGTTTCCTGCTTTGTAATATGTTTCTGACTGTGTTGTGCTTTTATTTTTCAGGCAAATCTAGTTGGCAAAGTGGAGATTTAAAATGGTACTTCTTTTGTCCGACAGAAAGGAAGTACCCAACTGGGGTTAGAACAAAACGTACTACTGAATGTGGTTACTGGAAAGCCACAGGAATTGACAGATCTGTTCTTTACAATGGTGAAGTTGCGGGCAAGATAAAAACATTGGTTTTTCATACAGGTCGAGCTCCAAAAGGAGACCGAACAGACTGGGTTATGCATGAGTATAGGCTTGAATCTAAGGACCTAGCTAATCAGGGTGTGCCTCAGGTAGATGATACTCTTCCTCTCATAATTTTGTATTCTTCCTTGTTTTCTGTAAAATTTGTTTGTCAATCTGCACTGAGTTTGTAATATACTTTCCTTTTGTAAAGATGTTATTCTTTAATGTTTCAGCTGATTAGAATTTTTTCATGCTTCTGAATCAAACTGTTTCTTTGTACAATTTCTTATACTGCTTTGGATGGCTAGCTGGTGTTGATTACTTTTTCTGTCTTTCTCATATTGCAGGAATCGTATGTGCTCTGTACCATTTTTCAAAAAGAAGGGCCAGGGCCGAGAAATGGTGCACAATATGGTGCGCCCCTTATGGAGGAAGACTGGAGTGATGATGAGGCTGAAAATTGTTCAGAAGTAGTCCCACATGCAAATATGCCTGTACCAAACCTTGTTCTGCCGAGTGACTACAATAGTTCCATCACTACTAGCACTGTACACCCATGATGGTACACGCATAGGTCCTTCATCTGAATCGTGTATATCAGATGTTGTACCACTTTCTTGCAATGTTTCCCAACTGGTTTCCAGTAATCATGCTACAGTGGAGGAGCCTCATACTTCTCAGGATGATATCCTGTCAATGTTGGCTTGCTTCTCAGAAGAAAGCCCTTCATTATTTAAAGAAAACGAAAAAAATGAGGTGTGTAATACGCCCTTCTCTCTTTTCTGCACGTAGTTTATAGCATTCATGATTTAATAGTAAGTGGAACCACCAATCATGAAATGAATTTACATTTTCTGAGTGGTGGAATCGTACACTACTATAAAATTGAGAAATGTTTATGTTGTGACACTATGCTCACGCTATAGCTTTCCAATGCATATGTGATAATGTGGCAAGATGGAGTTAGGTTAGATTTTGTTGAATTCAAGGAGTTAGCGTCTATACTTTCTGTGACTGAAGTTCTATCACTGATGTCATAGAGGTTGTTGAAAGATACAAATTAGCTTTGTGTGGAAGCAGGGACTATATAGTCATTGTTAATAATTATAATACCAATGTTATTTCTTGAAGCTAGAATTTAAAATTGGATGGCGTGACTGTCCGAGTTTATAAATAGATGGCGTACCTTGAGAAGTTGATGGTTTTGAATGTCGTTTTTGATAATTTCATTATATACTAGAGCATCTTGAATATCTTATGCATCTATATCTGTTTATAGAACAAAATTAAATCTGTAAGTACATTAGTACAAATAAACTATCTTGCAAGTGTTCTTTGAACTTCTAAAGTATGTTAATGTGTAGAACTTCTTCATTATTTGCAGGAGCTTGGTAATGTCATTCCTATTGGAAATGCTAGTGCAACGCCTCATCTCGTTATTAATGATACGTATGACAATTTAGGAGATTTGGGCAAGGCAGCAAGAGTCGGTGAAGAAGGATGTAGTTTCTCCAGTTTGCCAAATTCTGTCTGTGCTCCAGGGTCAAATCCCACTAGGTGACGATGAGCAATATTTGGAGCTGGATGATCTTGGCGAACCATTGAATTACCGTGATTCTACATACACTCAGCCTCCTTCTATGTTCGGTCAGCCTCATGCTTCGCTGGGAGAGACATCTTTTCAGGGTGAAGACCAGTTCAACGTGTTTGATAACGTGAACTTCTGAAGTTATTACCGCACTCTGGTCTTTCAAACCTAACTTGTTAAAACGGTTTCGCTAATTTTCAGAAGTTCACCTTTTCATACACAAACTTTGAGTTAATTCTGCATTTCTTTTTCGTTGTTACGACAGAGCAGTAGTAAATCCTAATTCACTAGTATGGTGTTGGATTTGAATCGCGTCACCATGTTATACTAAAATTGTGACATTGTATGACCAATGATTGCTTAGTAATTTAACATGTTATAAGTAATTCACTTGTGCTATAACAAGTGAATTACAACATACTAATAGTTGTTTCCTATATTATAATGTATGGATTAATAACACGATGTGTAAGTGTGACCGAAACTCAAAAAGAACGATGTTGTGAGGTTAATGTAATTACGATAGACCTTGTCTATAAACTGATGTCAAATTTGACATCAGGTTTAGACTACCTACCACCTCACAAGCTCCAACCGATTCTCTTTAGTCAATCCAAGAGTAACAATTGACGAAACTCAGGTGTTACACTTTGTTATGTCTCACTTACTCCTTGTACTCTTCTTCTGTGTTTCACATTATTTAATCTGATTCTCATCAACTAGGTTAAAGGAGGGAGCTGTTAGTTTTTCTGACATAGTAAATACTTGGGAGGACGTTTGAATCCACAAAAAGAGTGTTGATAAGTTCACTTCATTTGCTTATTTCTTCAACCACTTTATTATCTTACCCCCTTTTAAAAAAAATTAAAAATGCAAAAATGCTCTTTTTTCGGCCACTTTATCACCAAAGTCCCCACCACGCCCGCCCCCAAGTCCCACGAACAAGCCTCATGTCACATTTCCAAAATTTCATCCTCATGATCCAATCCA